GAGTTGTTTCATATCAGCAAGTAACGCGCTCCCAATCATTTGTACATTGAATTGGCAACCGCTCTAATACAAGTCACGATGACTATCAACTTGAGTGAAGCTCGGACGATCACTGGTTCACAAAAAACGCCCCTGGGTCAAGCGAGCGTTCTTAGAGATACACGTGAATCCATGTGCGCAAGCCATACGAGAGGCAGCGGCGCACAGGAATGTAGAATGTACATTAATGTTGAGAATAAAGCGTTCTAGTTAATAATATCACGATCACGACGATAGGAGTAAATATGGATCCAGCCTCGCAGGAGTATATGGTTGGATTGATTGCACATTTATGACATAGGAAGCACATTGGGATCGCCGATATTGCGAGAACGACCGTATATCATGCTACCGCTGTCCCGAGTCCACAGCGACCAAAGTACGAGGAAATCCATGAATAAAGTCAATGCTAGAGTCCACTTGATGAGGAGGCCTTCAGAGTGGAGAGTGATACAGCCAAGCCACACAATGCCACCGGCGTATCCCAATATACGTCCGAGAGGATAGGTCGGTAGTGGTTGAGCATCCAATCCCATGCTTGGCACGTGGCATGCGCTGCGTGTATATTCCATGACCCACTGTGCGACACGCATAAGTTCGCACAAGCTTCAAGTTGGATATCAGATTCATGTGATTGAAAACATCGTAATTCGTGGGATGAGTAATTGATCCTCAGGAGTCCCATTCGATAGATCAATGTTCCAACGCTCCGCATTCTTATCGACGTTGCTCACATATGTCATAACCTGTGGTGAAGGTGCTTCCGACCGCACACTGCTTAAGATATCTTATCGTGGAGCCCCACTCGACATTCGTCTCGTGCCAACTATGATATCACAGGCTGCTGCAGTCTCTGGTGAAGGAGCAAGCTTCCTCAGCCAAGACGACCATGAGTGCGAGAGATGCTTTGGGCTGGATGGCATGATCTACGACTTGAGAGCTGTAGGTGTCCAAATTGTAGAGTCTACATGCTCGGTTGGTTACGAGCAAATTCTGAACTATTTGAGGAAGGCTCGAGCCATCCTAGGCATCCAATTTTACTGCGAGCCCGACTCTGTGGTCACCATTAGCCCGATCAACGGGCCGATTAAGGCATCAGAAACTTGTACTGGCGGCAATCCCGTTCTTGGCACCAACGACCCCGGTTCTTCTTGCCAGCGTAACCTCGAGGTCATCAACATCGGACAAGCCTGGCGTTATGCTCGCGAAGCTAAGCGCGAACTAAAGGATATCGTGCTGGCCATCAGCGACACTGGAGTTGATATGACCCATCCGGATCTGGTTGGTCAGTTCTGGAAGAGCCCGAAAGATGGCTCCATCGGGTATAACTTCATCACGAACAGTATCGATGTTACTGATGACAATGGGCATGGTACTCACTGTGCTGGCAATGCGGCCGCCCACACTAATAACAGCATTGGCATTGCGGGATTGGCGAATATCAACGGCTCGGCACCAAAGGTGAAGCTAATGATCTTGAAGTTCCTCGATGCCGGGGGAGGGGGATCGTATAGTGGCGCAGTGAGGGCCCTCAACTTCGCGGTTGAGAATGGGGCTACAGTATCCTCCCATTCTTATGGTGGTGGCTCAAGTGATATCGTGAGAATTGCATTCGAGAATGCCGCCGCTGCTGGACATATCACTGTTGCTGCCGCCGGAAATGAGGGGGCGAGTCTCGAAGCCTTCCCAACCTATCCTTGTTGCCTCGCGAAGAATATCCCATCCATGATCTGTGTTGCTGCCAGTACTTCCAACCCATCCGAGAGCATCACCTTAGCTGGCTTCTCGAACGCTGGCTCGGTTACAAAGGTTGCCGCTCCTGGTGTAAACATCTACTCGACGATTCCTGTTAACACTTATGGTTATAAGAGTGGCACATCGATGTCGACCCCTACAGTTGCCGGTGTCGCCGCCTTACTCGCTACACTTGGTCTAGTGGGTGAGGACATCACCAATGCTATTGTTGCATCTAGGAAAATTGGTGTACCCAATCAGTTCAATCTACGCGACATCGGGGAACTAGACGCACTCAATGCAACCCATATTGCCATCGATTCCATCCGTCGGATGGCATCCGAGGCTACTGAAGCCCCTTGAGAGTTTTAGATTTGGGTCGTCGTTGAGTCAGGTACCCTCGTTCAATCTCCTTTACTGTTCAAAGTAATGACTATCGAAAGATGAGAATGATATCATGAGTGTCATCAAGTCTGCTTCGAACACTTGTCTTGTCGTTTACGAACATCGTTATGAGTCACTTTTTTCCATTTCATCGTTATTTCATCAAGCACCCTTTATCTTTCATGGGGTACACTTGGTGGTCCAGACATCTGTCATCAGAATATTCCGTCATGAGCATCTTCAGCGTAAATGACAACGGATTTCTAAATATTTATTCAGTCCTTGGGTTCAGTCTCTTCCCCGGTTCTTGCCAGCTGAGTTCATGACGGACACAAAACGTCTGTTGGCGACAAGTCGGCCTACCATCACCGTGACCTGGTTAAATTACCACACTCGAAACACGTGGGTCTGGAGACAAGCTAGGCTTGTCCATGAAGAGTCGAGCTTGAAGGCCGCACTCGCAAGATTAGTGCTGCTTGGTATCCGTGATACCACTAGGATGTCGCGTCGACATCAAAGATGGGACAAGTGCGGTCTTCAAGCAAGTCGGCTCTTGTGCTCGGTGTGGGAGGGATGGGTTGAGCAAAATGACAACACTGTTCACGCGGCACTCTGATCTGCAAGCTATTCCTAATGCGTGCATACGTGGTGCAATCTTGCACGCGTGCGCTGTGTGTCGACTGTCCCTTTTTGGCAGCGGAGCGACGTGTGTCTCGTTTCCGGAATTTAACTTGGGATAAAGGATTATCCTTGATTAAATTACCACACTCGAAACACGTGGGTCTGGAGACAAGCTAGGCTTGTCCATGAAGAGTCGAGCTTGAAGGCCGCACTCGCAAGATTAGTGCTGCTTGGTATCCGTGATACCACTAGGATGTCGCGTCGACATCAAAGATGGGACAAGTGCGGTCTTCAAGCAAGTCGGCTCTTGTGCTCCAATTCCAGACCCGAAGCCATTTGAACTCAAGTCACGTTATCGAAACGAATGCTAAGGATGATAGGAACCTCGCATCATGGATGATGCATACTGATGCTCACTCGCCTTAGTTACTCCCTTCAGATATGTCCTCTCTAGGACGCTCTGTACTGACCATCTGCCATATTGCGCTATGTTGAAGGTGCTTATGCCGGCGAACCACATCCACTGGGCACCGCTGCGGCGTAAGGAGTGGGTAGCCACGGACGATTGGGGTCGTTCAGAGGACCTAAAGACTTCTTGCACATGTCGTCGGAAAGTGGAGTACGATAAGTTGTTGAACAGAAGGCTGGTCCGCTCCATCGTGTTGGCGGCGAAGCCATCGCACATGAAAGCGTACAACTGATGTACAGCGCACAGGGGCTCCTTACATGGCCGAGCAGTGCTGCGGACCGCACACCCTATCCGGACGAGAGCTCCTTCGCCAAAGCGATCACATTTGCTGCGATTGATGTAGAGTGACACGACATCCATGTCGTCTATGGTGTTGAACGTTATGTCATTGCACCTCAGTCCTAGACACTCTCTGCATCTCAGCAGCCCGAAGATGCATACCAGAAGAGCAATGCCTGATCTCTTCTTTTCTTTCACGCACGCTTTGAGAGCCTGACGTGTTTGGCTGATCGTGACTGGAAGCTTGGCAGTGGGCTCGACACTAGCACCAGAGTTCTCCTTCCGGACGGCTATAAGTGCCCTTCGGATGTGTTCAACTTCGATTTGTGAGAAAATGTGTCCGACCTCGATGTTCCGTGTTTTTAGAGCTGCCGTGTAAGTTTTTATGGTAGAGTAGGCATATCCCACCTTGTTGAGAATATAGACGAATGTGAGCACCGACTCGGCTGACACGGGATACATCTTGTCGAGGCGGACCCTCGAACCCAGGATGACGTCTCGGAACAGCTTCTCCCCCGAACTATAGGTGCGCCGCGTGCTCGGAGCCAGAGCGGAGCGGATCAGATCACCCACTTCCTCCGGGACGTTCTGTCCACGGGCTCGAGCTTCGGCGAGGAAGTCGACGGCTTTCTTACGCCGAGCAGACATAACAAGTTGTGTGTAAAAACCCTGCAGGAAGGGAGTTCCCGGCGTCATAGGGCAAGAGTAGGAAAGGCCTCCTTGAGGAGCGGGAGATATTCCCAAGCGCGCTCCCCGGCATCGACCTTCCCAGATTTAGAACACAACCGAATGAATCTGTTTAAACGGGTATAGACATCTGAAACACTCGGTACCGAAATAGGGAGACTACTCGCACTCGTTAGGCGCAAGAGCCTTGAGAGAAGTCGGGGTAATCTCAATTTCCCTCCACGCTGTCGGCAGGAAGGATGACTCCCCGCGGGATATTCTGTCGGCGATCCAATTCTCACCGGAGGGTATCCACCGAATTACGCAGTCCGTAAGGGTCAGTCTCGCGAGACGGTATACGATAGAACGTAGCAATGTCGCCAATGTTGGGTTCTTCGAATACATACTCTTGAGAATAGTGGCGACGGCTTGATTGTCCACGTGTATAGAGACTCTGTAGTCCGAAAGTCTACCAAAATAGCGCTCTGCCTCCTGCAGGGCTAAACAGACCGCCAGTAGCTCGGTTATGACGATATCTTTCGATTCCGTCTTCACCCGCGGGTCCTTGGATATTAGGTTCCAGGGTTTGGTGACGGTCTCGTCGATGTGCTTGCGAAACCAAATAGTATGTTGGGACTCTTGTGATGAGCTTTCTCCACGAAGTGCGATTATACCACCCAAGGCTCGAGTAGAAGCATCGGAGAATAATAATAATGTACCCGCAAAGCCATTTTCCGATCTTCGGATCGGGCCCACTGAGTGGAAGGCTCGAGGGTCCGAGAGGACTTTGACGAAGAACTTGGCGACAATGTAGACCTCGCTCTTGTCTGGGCAGGACGCGGATTTCCTGCCTAGCTTCCTCATCACGGCGAGTAATCCATAGAATGGTTGGAGATAGGGGCGCAGGTACCTCCGCAAGGAAGTGTATCTGTTGAGCTTGCCGGCCAGAGATGACAGCGCCTGCTCAGTGGTTCTTCTATTGAGGAGAAGGTCGCGAAGATTCGACAAGAGCTTTTCGGTCTTGGCTGGGTCGATTTCAAATGTTGGATGCTCGCCTATCTTTATCTTGATACCGATCACCGTACCTTCTTCGAGGTTGATGCGTAGCTTGGGGAAGCTCAACCCGGATCCGATAAGCAGCCAGAATATGATGATTATCATAGCGGCTGGTATGTAGACCTCGATTCTAATACAGAAGAACCCGTCGTCGACGTACATGTACGTACCGAAGGCCTTAGCGTCGGCGTCCGTGAACACGGCTTGCAGTACTGTCTCTAGACAGCGTAATGCAAGAGTAGCATAGCGAACGAACCAGTACGCGGCGGCACTGTGACCGAAGGAGAGGACCAGGTTCTCGAAGGCTGCTGTAGATCCATCTTTGAAGGTATGGGTGAACGAGACGTTCTTCCTTTCGGCCGGATGTATGCCGAGATGACGGTAGGCGGAGCGTAGGTCCAGCTGTAGAAGTTTGTATCCCGTGACAGCCCCGGAGTGAGCGTCGGAGAGAGAGCTGATCAACTGTCGCAGATGGGACACAGTCGGTAACCGAGCAGTATTGGGTATGGATGAATTCAAGTTGCTATTGCTTCTCTTGAAGTCTTCGACTATTCGGACCCCGTTCTCATATGACCCGCCTTTCGGCACTGCGGCCCGGCGAATATAGGTGCGTCGCTCATCGAGAGACTCGAGGCGGCCAAGTCGTCTTATATAGCCGTTGGCCTCTTCGTTCAGAACGATTTCGTCGGCTTTGCCTTTGACCTCCGCGAACGACATTGATTTGTAGTTCGAGTGGATCTCGGGGAGCTTGAAAAGCTCCTGTTTCTTCGGTTTGAACTTAGGGTATAAGTCCGTGTGTGGTATAGGGACTGATATACCCAAAGGGAGCCCTTCGGCACCTAGATTGGGGAACTCCAAATCGGCCAGCCCGAGACGCTCTGCTATGGCTCCGAGCAGGCCGTGGTAGATAGAGTTTCCGGACTGCCTGACCAGTACGGATTCGCCCAATTGTAACTCCAAGGCTGAACGAGCCATGGTCGCGGCTTCGGTGCCTGCTCGCTCTAAAGATTCAGCCTGTTCGGGACTGGGCTTCCCAGTGATGCTTCGGAGGAGCTCGTCGATGCCGCACTTCATGCCCTGCTGAATCAATAGTTCTGCCAAGCTCTTGGCGAATTTTTTCTGGGGCTCGGCTAGTGGGGGATATTGTCCCGGAAGGGTGCATGCCCCTCCATTCCTGAAGCCTCAGTTTCTCCTTGAGCTTCTTCGGTGAAGCATCGTCAGTCTCTCTAGTGCTTTTCGATGTATGTCTCGGGGGAGGCCTGGAGCGGCCGATCTTTCAGAGGTGCTCGTTGACGATTT